AGACATCATTAAACATCAAAAGTTTCAATTGCCAAATTCTGTGTTATTGCTTACACAGATAATGTAGTCTGTTAATACCAAAAGGTTAACAGAATGGCCCAAAATAATGCCTCATTTGGTTAGGAATCTCACTATGTTGTAAAATATACACAAAATGAAGTGTATACTCAGATATTTATTTACTGGAACTTCATTAATAATGAGCAAACAACAAATAAGCAGCAACATAAAGCTATGCTTTTAAAAGAGGGCTGGGAAAAAGTTCTTGGCAATAGCTTAGGGGGCCACATGATGATAATGATCACAATCATGGTTAACTACATACTACAGACACTGTTCTAAAGGCTTTATTTAAACCTATTCATTTAATCCTAACAAGAAAGGTATTGACCTCATTGTCTAGGAGGAAACTGAGATAGCAAGAAGTAAGAAGTAACTAATCCAAGGGTTGCATAGTAACAGAGTTGGAATTTGAAAAAGTCTAGCTTTATAGCCCTGGCTTTTAACACTACCTGCCTAGTCCTTCCAGATAATCTATAAAGAACAAAGTCATCATCAAAAAACTTAAGGACAACAGAAAATACTCCCATGAACTACTGAAAATATTAAGTAGTCAAGAATACGAACAAACTCTTGAGCAATTATAGGTATATTAGCTGTGATATAATTACTCAATGGATTGCCCTTGCTTAATTTAAATATGCCTTAATCTTTAAGTATCACCTTTTATCTGACACAGAAAATTATCTCCTATTCAAATTTCCTTGATTCTGCAAACCAAGGAGCATATTTTAAAATGAGCTTTATATAAGGGTCTACATAATACCTAACTTCAGTTCAGCAAACTCTATCTAAAGCTGCTTTCCCACACAAAATAAGGAATTTCTTGAGGCAATAGGCTCTTAACAATTCACTACTCCCCAAAATATTTGCAAGGCTTTGTGAAAGCCGATTAACAATTTACAAAACCACAATAAAGTTATCACTTCAATTTGTCCTGTTTATTAGGATTCTCTAATCTAGAGTTCATTTCCACACCAAAATGGGAGACACGCCAAGGGCACCTGGACAAAACAGGAATGACAGTAGCACCTAGCACCATCATCTTCGAGAAAGAATAAAGAGACTAAAAAGTTTGTGAAATCAATGGAACCAAAAAAAAGAGTACCCAACAATGCAAAGAATTAACTCTTCTACAATGACTATTTACCCGGAATTAAATAACTAGAGAAATGGCTCTATATATAATAGATAATTAACATAACAAAATATTAAAATTACAAACAGCTTGCAGAGGGTTTGGTTTTTTTTTGTTTGTTTATTTGTTTTTCAGTACGAGCAAATAATACAGTGCTCTCCTACTGCTTTTCCTTTTTGTTTTCCTGAGATGGAGTCTCCTCTGTTGTCCAGGCTGGAGTGCAGTGGCACAATCTTGGCTCACTGCAACGTCCGCCTCTTGGGTTCAAGCTATTCTTGTGTCTCAGCCTCCTGAGTAGCTGGGATTATAGGCGTCTGCCACCATACTCAGCTTTTTTTTTTTTTTTTTTTTTTTGTATTTTTTGTAGACACCGGGTTTCACCATGTTAGACAGGCTGGTCTCAAACTCCATCTCAGGTGATCTCCCCGTCTGGGCCTCTCAAAGTGCTGGGATTACAGGCGCAGGCCATGGCGCCTGACCAGTTCTCTCCTACTCTTTAGCAACAACATTCACGGCAGACACGTGTTACAAGGCTCCTCTGTCATTTCCACTTGCCAGAAAGAAGATAACTCAACACATGACAGTCATGAAGCATGAACGTGGACAAACTATTCTGAAGAATATAACTGATTTTCTTTCCTTAACTATTACACTTCAAATCTAGCCAAGTACAGTTTTTGTTATGCTACAATTTATAAGACTAAACTAGCTAAAGAGGGAAAAAAGGTCTGTAAATAACGTTTAAGTGTCTATGTGTATATTCATGTGTATATGTGGATAGATCCCGTTAATACCTAAGAGTAATTATTTTCATGTGAACCAGGAAATATTACCAAACCATAATGAGATGCCTGGATACAACCCTGTTAGAACAGAAAGAACACTTCAGACCTTACAGTTCAGGTTTTAGCACTACCTAAACCAGATGACTGCAAACAAGCCAATTACTAATTACTGATTGTTTCTGAGTCTTAATTTTCTCCTCTGTTAAATAGGAATCTATACGTTCACAGAGATTCCTTCTAATTCTAAATACTGGTTTCAGCGAAATAATAAGGTTTCTTTTCCTTTTTTTTTTGAGACGGAGTCTGGCTGTCTCCCAGGCTGGAGTGCAGTGGCGCAATCTCGGCTCACTGCAAGCTCCGCCTCCTGGGTTCACGCCATTCTCCAGACTCAGCCTCCCGAGTAGCTGGGATTACAGGCGCCTGCCACCATGCCCAGCTAATTGTTTGTATTTTTAGTAGAGACGGGGTTTCACCGTATTAGCCAGTAGTGTCTCCATCTCCTGACCTCATGATCCGCCGGCCTCGGCCTCCCAAAGTGCTGGGATTACAAGCCTGAGACACCGCGCCCGGCTCAATAATAATGTTTCTTATTCAACGTAAGAAAGATAGGACTACTTCTACTCTTTAGTTAACCATACATCAGCAAAAAACTTCAGCTTTTTCTGCACTTGGAAATTCTCAAGTGACAATACATGACAACCAAAAAGGATCAGATTTAAACTCCCAAATGCAAAACTATACTCATTTTCCAGGCACCTATTTATTAACCATGGTGACTAATTCAATGGATCACAGTATCAAACTATTCTTTGCTAACTTTACTGTGTTCATCTTAGAAATGTATGTGATAATATTTTCAGATAATGATGCAAAGAAATAGTATTCTACACTGACATATCTCCAGTTCTAAGAATGAAGTGATAACATATTTTCATTTATATAATAATTTCATGTTTACTATCTCATTTAATCTTTGTGACAGTTGTATGAAAGAAAGTGAGCAGAATTTTCATCAACACAATCTAGACCAGCTCAGAATGTTAGGTAACCTATTAGCCATTAACAAGTGTTGGAGCCCAGACTTCAATCCAGATCTTCTGATTTAAAGTTTAACAGTCACCAAAATCCTAAAAAGTGGTGATTCAAGCCAAAAGCAAGAAGTTGGAAAAGGGAGAAAAACTGGATAATCAGTCCTTCAATTGAACATAAAGAATATAAGATCAGATTTGGCAGTTATATAATCAAGAAGCAAATTTATCGAATGTTAAACTAATGATACATCTAACTATCATAATTCTATATCTCAAATTTCGTCACCTTGTTTCAAAGCCAAGCATGAACAAATTTTCAAACTCAAAATAAGAAAAATATGTAAACTGACAAATTGATTAAACTAGTTATAGGTAAACTGGTAAAAGGCATCAAAACATGGTTCTATGTATATTTTCTTCTGGAATGTGACTCACAGAAATTAAACTGTATTAATCAATTGTAATCAAGTAGGATATATCCCTCAAAAGAAAAAAGCAACCTTCAGTGCTTTAAGATAATGTAGGCAAAGTAGTAAAATAAAAAATTTCTACTTGAGAGAGTCACTTCATACCTACACAAATCAGTCACATTTGTCTCGGTACCACCATCCCTCTTCCAAAATAAAACATAAGCTACAATGCATACAATGATGCCTAGTAAATAAGTTTCTTCCTTTCATCATTTATGCTAACAACACACAACTAATATCAGAACTAATGACAATACAATTAGTAGGTAGTAGCAATTAGAATATTAAATTCTCTATCATGACAACACTAGAAACACTTGTACAAGCTTCTTCAAATGATCAATGCAATCTGTCCACAAAAATCTCTGACAAGCCCCAAAGTAGAAATGAAAGACGTTAACATTAGGACAAGGAGCGATGCTGCCAAAATACGTCAACAGCGGCCAGTCTATGTGTATTATTAGATTTTTACATGGAGTTGCAGGTAAATAAAAGATGATTGTGTAAAATCTTCTGGAGGTCATTAGTAATCTAGCAGTGTGACACAGGGCCACATATGGTTTCTCGAATTTTAGAGATTAAGTCGACCTTCACGTTTTACTGCAAATACCTCCACTGTAATAAAATATAGGGGTTGGGGGTCAGGGGTTTGGAAAGGCAGACAACTCTTTTTCATGAAAGCAGTGAAAATGAGAAGTTCCTCTCCCAGGGCTCTGCGGAGCGAAGGCCCATTCCCTTGGCTACCCTGTATCACCAGCGCTTTAGATGGCACTTGCACGCCTGGATTTCGTTTAGAAGCGAATACATCTAGCATCATGCGCTAGAGGTTCGGGAGAGCAAAAACCAAACTGACAGATCCTGAGAAACAGCTCAGTCATCAGCAGGGAAGACCTTCCCCACTTACTCCAAGGTCCTGGACATCCCGGGACTAAGATGTTCTCTAAAGAAGCCTAGCAAGGCTTCCAAGTCCGCGGAGAGGAGAACGAACAGCCGGGAGTCCTGTGTCTGGGTTCAATGTCCGGGTGACCAGCCATGAGGAGGTGTCCCAAATAACCTGGCTACCGCCAGGGTGAGACATCCAGTCAGCAGCGTCCTAAAACACTGCTGGAAGTCGGAATCACAGTGCCCCAGATCTGCAATGCCTAAGTAGGAGAGTTCCGGAAGACGCCAAGCTCTGAGGACAGCCTCAGGCTTCGGTCCCCAATTCCCTGAGTTAGTTTACCTACCCGCTCCGACCCCGGCTTCTCCGGATCTCAGGATCCTGGAAGCTGCTCCAGACCGACTCTCACACCCGCCGCTGGGCTCCGGCCAACCGGAACCCGCTCACGTCACTTCCGGTCCGGTCTCTCTGCCCCCCGGAGACCGCCTCCAGAAGGGAAACGTTCCTCCCTGCTTTCGTCGAGCTCGGTTGATCCTCGCGGGATTTCAGTTCGGCTCTTAGTGCGGACCCTGTGGGTGTGGCAAGAGGAAGAATGACTGCTCGCTTTGCGATTCTTGATCCGGAACTTGTTACCCAGGAACCCCGGAAGAGGTAGCTCAAGCGATAGAAACGTGTTCGCTGCCCAGAAGGGAAGGCGCGAGTGAGGAAAAGAGGTCCTGTAGGTAGGTTGGTTGGCTCCTTACAGGGCGAAGGAAACCAATATCATTATTCATTCTTTCTCCAGCAGGAACGTTTCTTTTCACTTCATTACCTACCTTCTTCATTTTCTCCTTTATAAACTGTCTTCCGCCCAGGGGCCGCTGAGCCCTCTGTTCCTGTTCTGCGAACCGCCCTTGGGAAGAAAGGAGCGGACTGCTGGGGAGGGGAGGACTGAATTTCTAGTTCCCAGCATAGCCTCCATGCAGGCAGTATCGATGCTGTCTCTCTGAAATTGATAAAATGGCGAGCAGGCCTCACACCCGCAACTGGGCACTTAAGAATACCCCCAGCGTTTCGAGCTGTCGAGCTCTGCTTGGAAAGAAAAGGTTTCTAAGAATATAGTCGAAAATTTGGGGCCGGGCGCGGTGGCTCACGCCTGTAATCTCAGCAGTTTGGGAGGCTGATGTGGGCGGGTCACCTGAGATCAGGAGTTCGAGACCATCCTGGCCAACATGGCGAAAACCCATCTATACTAAAAATACAAAAATTAGCCAGGCGTGGTGGCGCGTACATTTAATCCCAGCTACTCGGGAGGCTGAGGCGGGTGAATCACTTGAACTCGGGAGGCGGAGGTTGCAGTGAGCTGAGATCGCTTCATTGCTCTCCAGCCTGGGCGACAGAGTGAGAGACTTCGTCTCAGAAAAAAAAAAAAAAAAAAGAAAGAATAATTTCCCCCGCTTATCACACAAAGAGATTGCCTAGAGAGGTATTAATCCTTACTAACATACCCCAGACACTGTACTAGACTCAGGGAATATGCTGTGCAGGGAAAGTGAGACAGTGGCTTAAGGGTCAGAGAAGATTTGGGAAAGATTTGTTTGCTTATTTGTTTTTTTTAGGTTGTAAACTGCAGACTGGCGCGGTGGCTCACGCCTGTAATCCCAACACATTGGGAGGCTGATACAGGAGGATTGCTTGAGTCCAGGAGTTTGAGAACAGCCTGGGCCACGTAGTGAGACCCTGTGTCTTAAAAAAAAGATTATCAGGTGGAGCATGGTACAGGAGGAGGTAATGGGATCAACAGCACTACTGAAATGGGTTTACTGAGGCAGGGGAATTAGAAGGCACCAAGAGGAGGATTTTACAGGATGTACTTATTTTGTTCTGCTCTCATTGCCCAGAATTATTTATGAGACCAAGAATGGTTATTTGTTTTACCTTAGTCTCAGGCACTGAGCTTATTGCTACGCTTGTAGTAAGTATACAGAAAAAGAGACAGACATGTTCTTTTAGAGGAGTTCGATGATAATCTGATCAGAGTAATATGAGATTAGAACATCCTAAAGAACAAAAATCTGTGTTAATTTTAGCATTTTTATGATTAGACATGCCATTGAGATATGGGACATAAACAATAAATACACTTGTTAACTTTTGGATCTTTCACTGACTGTTCTCTGTTTTTTATCTTATTCGTGTATTTTTTTTTATTTTTTATTTTTTGGAGACGGCGTCTTGCTTTGTTGCCCAGCCTGGGGTGCAGTGGCACGATCATGGCTCACTGCAACTTCCACCTTCCAGCCTGAGGCGTCCTTCCACCTTATCCCCTGAGTAGTTGAGAGTATGGGCATGTGCCACCACATCTGGCTAATCATTTAAATTTTTTGTAAAGATGAGGTCTCACTATGTTACCCAGATTGGTTTAGAAGTGGACTCAAGAGATTCTGCTGCCTCGACCTCAAGCAACTCCTTGAGGCCCGGAGTTCCAGACCAGTCTGGGCAACATAGCAGACCAAGTCCATTCAAAAATAAAAAATTTTTTAAAAATTAGGAGGGTGTGGTGGCATGCGCCTGTAGTCCCAGCTACTTGGAAGGCTGAGGTGGGAGAATTGCTTGAGCCCAGGAGTTTGAGGCTGTAGTGAGCCTCTGAACTCACTCATCATGCCCCTGAACTCTAGCCTGGGTGACAGAGGGAGACCCCTTCTCTTAAAAAAAAAAGAAAGAAAAAGGCACCTTCTCTGTTTGATTCTCATATTTCTCATCTTTAAAATGAGGCTAATATATCTTCCTTTTTTTTTTTTTTTTTTTTTTTTTTAAGATGGAGTCTCGCTCTGTCACCCAGGCTGGAGTGCAGTGGTAGGATCTTGGCTCACTGCAAGCTCCGCCTCCCAGGTTCATGCCATTCTCCTGCCTCAGCCTCCCAAGTAGCTGGGACTACGGGCGCCGCCACCACGCCCGGCTAATTTTTTGTATTTTTAGTAGAGATGGGGTTTCACCCTGTTAGCCAGGATGGTCTCGATCTCCTGACCTTGTGATCCGTCCACCTCGGCCTCCCAAAGTGCTGGGATTACAGGCATGAGCCACCGCGCCCGGCCAATATATCTTCCTTTTTATGTGTTCATAGCAACAATAAATGAGGTAATGGATATAAAGGATTTAGTGTGTTATCCAACACATAATAGCTTTTCTATATAGAGCAGTTCCTTCTCTAGACAGTACCTGAATCTGTGTATAGGATATTTGGTTACTTTGCAACCTAGAAATTATTGCAGAGAATCCTAATTGTTGACATAGAGGTTACTATACCTTTTTAGAAATAATTGAATATTTGTTCAGTTTGGAGTCTGGTTGTTAGATTATCAAAGAAAAGTCCTGCTGATATGTAAGCATCAAATAGAAACTTGGCCAGGCGTGGTGGCTCATGCCTGTAATCCTACCACTTTGAGAGGCTGAGGCAGGCAGGTCACTTGAGGTCAGGAGTTTGAGACCAGCCTGGCCAACATGGTGAAACCTGTCTCTACTAAAAATACAAAAATTAGCCAGGTGTGGTCGCGGGTGCCTGTAATCCCATCTACTTGGGAGGCTGAGGCAGGAGAATTGCTTGAACCCGGAGGCAGAGGTTGCAGTGAGCTGAGATGGCGCAACTGCACTCTAGCCTGGGTGACAAAGTGAGATGCCGTCTCAAAAAAAAAGAAAGAATTCTCTCTGTTTTGGGAGGTGAGGGCTGTACAGGCACTGGAACCATAAGTACTATGTCTGAGCAGCCCTGTCACTGTATTTAGGCACTTGAGTGGAAGAGCACTGAAACTAGGTGCTCTACAGTTTACCCTATGTGACCCTCCTACTCTTGGTCATGCCATGTTAGTCTCCTTTGATTCCTAATGTTTATTTCCTCAGGATTATGTTTTAGTCCTTTCTTCATTCTACATATTTGTCCAAGTGGCCTCATAACTCTTCCATCTCTTCAGTAATTTCAATTATATGGTAAGGTCTCTCCAATCTATATTTCCAGCCCAGACCTTTCTGACTTTAAACTGATGTATCCTATACCCTTTAAGCTGATACATCTTTTTTTAATTCTTCTTTCTAGATATCTCTGAGATGTCTTTTGTTCAGAGCAAAACTAATTCAATATCTTTTCCATTCAAACCTGGTATTTCACCAAAATTCTCTGTTTGTTCACATCTAAGTGTCATTAACTTCTCCCTTTCTTTTATCACCAGACTTCCAGTCAGTCACTAAATCAGACTGGTGTACCTTAGACACTTTTTTCTTTCTCTTTCTCACTACTGTTGTCTAAATGACCATCATCTCATCTAGACTGCTGGGAGAGGCCTGATATAGTAATGTTAAGAACAAGGGCTCGGCAGGGCATGGTGGCTCACGCCTGTAATCCCAGCACTTTGGGAGGTCGAGGTGGTGGATCATCTGAGGTCAGGAGCTCAAGACTAGCCTGGCCAACATGGTGAAACCCCATCTCTACTAAAATACAAAAATTAGCCGGGCCTAGTGGCACGCACCTGAAGTCTCAGCTACTTGGGAGGCTGAGGCAGGAGAATCGCTTGAACCCCAGAGGTGAAGGTTGCAGTGAACCAAGATCGCACCACTGCACTCCAGCCTGGCAACAGAGCGAGACTCCATCTCCAAAAAAAGAAAAAAAAAAGAACAAGGGCTCTGCAGGGCACGGTGGCTCACACCTGTAATCCCAGCACTTTGGGAGGCCGAGGTGGGTGGATCTCCTGAGATCAGGAGTTTGAGACCAGCCTGGCCAACATGGTGAAACCCCATCTCTACTAAAAATACAAACGATTAACTGAGCGTGGTGGCGGGTGTCTGTAATCCCAGCTATTTGGGAGGCTGAGGCAGGAGAATCGCTTGAACCTGGGAGGCGGAGGTTGCAGTGAGCTGAGATGGTGCCATTGCACTCCAGCTTGGGCGACAAGAACAAGACTCTGTCTCAAAAAGGAAAAACAAGGGCTCTGTATTAAGGCGACCACTTATGAGCTAGGCAAGCTATAACTTGTGTACCTAATTTTTCTACATCTGAAAAATGGGGATCATAATTATGTATATAGATGCTCCTCAACTTAGGGTGGGGTTATATCCTGATAAACCCATCATAAATTGAAAGTACCATAAATTGAGAGCCAGGCACAGTGGCTCATGCCTGTAAACCTAGCTACATGGGAGGCTGAGGTGGGAGGATCATATGAGGCCAAGAGTTGGGCAACATAATGAAACTCCTGTCTCTTAAAAAATTTTTTTTTTTTTTTTAATTAGCAGGGTGTGCTGGTATGTGCTTGTAGTCCCAGCTACTGGGGAGGTTGAAGTGGGAGGATTGCTTGAGTTCAGGAGTTCGAGGCTGCAGTGAGCTATGATCACTTAACTGTATTCCAGCTTGGACAAAAGAGTGAAACCCTGTCTCTTAGAAAACGAAATATACATTGGAAATAAGTGTAATACACCAAACCTACCAAACATGGTAGTTTAGCCTAACCTACCTTAAACATGCTCAGAACACTTAATTTATTAGCGTACAATAGGGCACAATCATCTAACATAAGGTCTACAAATGTTAAATATTTCATGTAATTCGTTAAATACTGTACTGAAGGTGAAAAACAGAATGTTTGTATGGGTGAAGTTTCTACTGAATATGTATTGCTTTTGAACCATTGTAAAGTCAGAAAGCTTTTGAACCATTGTAAAGTCAGAAAGCTTAAGCAAAACTATAGTAAGTCCATGACCAGCTCTGTTTACCTTGAAGTGCTGTTGGGTGCATTAAAGAAGACAATTGCTATAGAGTGTTTAGCCAATGTGTAGCAAAACACTTCATAAATGTTAACTATTACTACATTATAGCAGCCTCTGAAATGATCTCCCTGTATCTATTGCCAACTTCTAGTTCATTCTTTACATTGAAGGCAGGTATCTCTTAGAACAGGCATCCCTGTGGCCTGTTAGGAACTGGGCCACACAGCAGGAGGTGAGCGGTGGGCAAGTGAGTGAAGTTTTATCTGTATTTGCAGCTGCTCCTCATTGTTCACATTACCTCCTGAGTTCCATCTGATTAGCGATAGCATTAGATTCTCATGTGAGTGTGAACCCTGTTGTGAACTGCCCATGTGAGAGATCTCAGTTGTGTACTTCTTATGAGAATCTAATGTCTGATGATCTCACTGCCTCCCATCTCACCCCTGATGGGACTATCGAACACCTTTTTGTAACATTTACCAGTCTTGGAAGTATTTGTCTTCACTACTCATCTGTGAACAGCTGACAGTGGCCCGTATTCATCACTATATCCTCAGCTTAACAAGGTGCATGGCTGGCACATAGATAGCCAGTAAACATTTGTTTTATTGAACTTAACTTCTCTTGGTCTGAATTTCTTCATTTTTGATATGGCAGTAATCCTCATTCTCAGTGGAACAAATAACACAATACATGTCAAAGTATTGTGGAAATTTTGAGCTATAAAAGCAAAGTTTTGGCCAGGTGCGGTGGCTCACGCCTGTAATCCCAGCACTTTGGGAGGCTGAGGTGGGCGGATCACGAGGTCAGGAGATTGAGACCATCCTGGCTGACATGGTGAAACCCCGTCTCTACTAAAAATACAAAAAAAATTAAAATTAGCTGGGTGTGGTGGCGGGCGCCTGTAGTCCCAGCTACTTGGGAAGCTGAGGCAGGAGAATGGCGTGAACCTGGGAGGCGGAGCTGGCAATGAGCTGAGATTGCGCCACTGCACTCTAGCCTGGGCGATAGAGCAAGACTCTGTCTCAAAAACAAACAAAAGCCACAGTTTTAAAACAGAATGAAAGAAATTCAAAATTGGGATTGGACCATTTCAAAACTATTGCTAAAGTGTAAGTTTCATTAAGGAAAGGACTTTTTCTGCTTTGTGCACTCCTGTATCCCTTAGACCCTAGAACAAGGTCAATCAGTATTTGTGGAAGGGAAGCAGTATATCATAAAACTAAAAGAATTGAGAAAGTAGAAAGTAGTCACACTTCTATTTCAGATACCCATTCCTATAGCTATGCTCTGGGCTTTGTATCTCTTTGTAATCATTCATCTCCAAAATCAAAACCCCATGCATCGCTCTAAGTCTTTCCAGCTTACTTTCATCACGCCTGTTCTTCAACAGCATGTCTAGATAAATAGCATCCATCACTTTGTTGTCCGTAAATCAGTCTTTGATAATACAGGTTGCTTTTTATCAGGTAGGCCAAAAGAGAAAAATGTAATAACACAGGTTGCATGGTCTATCATGTCAAACATTCTTTCTTACCCTCATCCTAAATTCCCTTGTACCATTCTTGGGGCTTGCTCCTGGCATAATTTAAACTCAGATACATCCAACTACCATTCCAGTAGGAGGGGAGAGCAAAGGATGAGTGTGGATGGAGTGAGTTTGTATGTTTGGAGGAAGTGATTATTAGTCTTTTGGCTTCTAAGTACTACTGGAGAAAATCACGAATAGTATGTTGCTATTAAAAAGTCATCATTTATCTTAACCATGCTGTCAATATTCCTCTGCAATCCTGCCATATTTTGCCACACCTTTTATTTCAGCCTTTCTCTTCTCTACTCCATTTGAACTTCTGTCTGAGCACCTTCCCTCCGGGAGAATACTTTCCTGCCTTCAAATCCATGGACCTACCTGATTTAAAACTCAAATTGGGAAAGGTGTCCTTTTTCCTTTCCAAGACCAAATCCCTTTATAAAGGCTTTCTCTATCTTGAGCATTTACCTGCCTGCCTTCTGGCTCCATCCCATTAACATTTAAATATGCTTATCCTTTCTTCTTAGGAGAAAAAAAAAATTCCTTTTCTTTGTCACCTTATATCCATTGCTTTTTCTTTTTGCTCTGTCTCTTGACCCCACCTCAAACGAATTTCTGCCCCACCAAAGACAATAACCCCTTTTATGTTAAAATTAGTGGAAAGAATGTTCATATAATGCCCTCACTTTAAAGAACATAAAGGAAATTTATAAGTACTTCCGGGGCTGTCATCTATGCCGTGTCAGTCATGCACTGCACAATTCCAAGGGCACCACTTTACATTACAAATACAGTTCATTACAAATATAGTGGCCCCGTGTTTATAAATGCTTAGATAATAGTCCACTAGAAAAAGAAACTGATAGTTGCTTGCACCTCTACATAGAAGCACTGTGAATCCAGCAGCCTCATTTGTAGACTGATGCAAGTGTTTTATTGGTGACTCAAATATTATGAACAGCTTTGCCGAAGTAGCAGCATTTTCTAAAATAATAAAGGATGACATTCCTTTGTTTTATGATGGTTACACTTCTGGAAAATTCAGTATGGACAGTCTCCGACTTAAGAATTTTCGACTTTAGGATGGTATGAAAGCGATACCCATTCAGTAGAAACTGTACTTCAGGTTTTGCATTTTGATCTTTTCCTGGCCTAGTGATAATGTGGTACAGTACACTCTTGTGATGCTGGGCAGCGGCAGCGAGCCACAACTCCCAGTCACCCATGTGATCACGGGAGTGAACAACCCATCCTCTAGTGTGTACTGTGTTGTCAGCTTTTTTGGATGTTGTGTTTTGTGTTTTCACATTCCATCATGTCTACAAAATGTCCATCAGTGTCTCCTGTTTCTGGTGAGATAAAGAAGAGGAAGGCAGTTACTCTTGAAACGAAACTCAATTGCCCAGCATGAAGGTGGCAAGCCAGTAATGGCCATTGCGCGTGAGTTAGGACTTTCGCAATCCACGATTTCAACCATCTTAAAGGATAAGAAGTGAATCAGTGATGCAGCGAAATCGTCAGCATCAGTTAAATCCACTGTCATCACAAAGAAAAGGGCTGGACCCATTGATGATATGGAAAAATTACTTGTTATGTGGATGGAAAACCAGATACAGAAGCACATACCACTCAGCCTACTGATGATCCAGGCTAAGGCAAGAAGTCTTTTTAATATGCTAAAAGACCGTGCCAATGATCCTACATATACACAAATATTTAAAGCAAGTCATGGATGGTTCCAGCGCTTCAAAAGGCGTCATAATTTTCACAATGTAAAGATCAGTGGTGAGGCAACACGTGCTGGTAATGAAGGTGCCATAGCTTTTAAGGAACAGCTGCATGGGATAATTGTGGCTGAAGATCTTTGCAATAAGGAGCTGATTGCACTGGAGGAAGAAAGAAGTAAAGGAGTTGAGGCAGTGGAAGAAGTTATACCCACGGCACCTAGAAAGTTCACAGCAAAGAAACTGGCAGAGGCATTTGCTGCTATCAGCAGCGGCCTACAGATGTTAGAAGAAATGGACGTCAATTACGAGAGATTCGCCACAGTTGACAGGCAGATACAGGATGCTCTTGCTTGCTACAGAGAAATATATAATGAAAAGAAACAAGCTGTACAGTCAAAACTTGGTATATTCCTGAAGAACAACACTATGCTTGCTAAACCGTCAACTAGTGTTGATGTCCCAATGCCTTCTACCACCTATTCTCGATGTTCATCAGAAGACAGAGAAATTGAGGACCCTATTGCATCCCCATCATCCAGCAATTAATTCATTTCAGTGCTTCAAACATTTTTCAGGACCACTGTGCTTTCAGCTGTGTACATTAATGGTGAGTACCCATACAACCATTCTGTTTTCTACTTTCAGTACAGTATTCAATAAATTATAGGAGATATTCAACACTATTATAACATAGTCTTGTGTTAGATGACTTTTGTCCAACTGTAGGCTTATATAAGTGTTCTGAGCACATTTAAGGTAGGCTAGGCTAAGTCATGATGTTCTGTAGGTGTATTAAATGCATTTTTGGCTTACGATATTTTCAATTAATTGGGATATAACCCCATGGGAAATTGAGGAGCACCTATACATAGTAAAACTATGCAAAAAATATTTTGTGTTCTTATGTAAAATGATGTTGAGTTCTCATCTCAGTTATTAAGTTTTTCAGCTGCACTAATGTCCAATGGGACAACTTTTCCTTTTGTAAGATTTTTAGCATCCTTGCTCAGGCTTAGTAAATTTCAGCATCTCACTCCAGGCCCATTAATGTGACAGTGAGGTTCTTCTAGGGTAATTTATTTGATACCATCTCCATTGAGAACCCAGAGCATTGTGAAAACAGATTAGCACTATATTCCAGGAAAGGGGTGAGTTATTTTTGGTTTCTTTAAATCTTAGGCATCTTGGTAAAACAGAACATCTCCACAAGACTAAGGGAAGACTGAGGAATAGAGTTTTTGAACTTTATGCAACTTTGTTTACATCAAGTTTCAAAATGACCTAAACTGTTTCATGTGGATGCTTGAATCTTTTCTAGTACACTGGTGGTGGGCAAGGGGGTGTTGGAAACAGGGCACAGGCATAAGATCCAAGATGTGTTTTGCCTTTTTTCTGGATGACCTCATTAAGTGTATAGTCAAAATGTTTCTCTGATAAGCCTATACCTCTGTAAGTTGTTACTGCCGGATAGTGATAACTGTTTTCCTTTCCCTTAAGATGCCCTCCAAATCCTTGGTTATGGAGTATTTGGCTCATCCCAGTGCACTTGGCTTGGCTGTTGGAGTTGCTTGTGGCGTGTGTCTGGGCTGGAGCCTCCGAGTACGCTTTGGGATGTTCCCCAAAAGCAAGACGAGCAAGACACACACAGATACTGAAAGTGAAGCAAGCATCTTGGGAGAGAGTGGGGAGTACAAGATGATTCTTGTGGTTCGAAATGACTTAAAGATGGGAAAAGGGAAAGTGGCTGCCCAGTGCTCTCATGCTGCTGTTTCAGCCTACAAGCAGATTCAAAGAAGAAATCCTGAAATGCTCAAGCAATGGGAATACTGTGGCCAGCCCAAGGTGGTGGTCAAAGCTCCTGATGAAGAAACCCTGATTGCATTATTGACCCATGCGAAAATGCTGGGATTGACTGTAAGTTTAATTCAAGACGCTGGACGTACTCAGATTGCACCAGGCTCTCAAACTGTCCTAGGGATTGGGCCAGGACCAGCAGACCTAATTGACAAAGTCACTGGCCACCTAAAACTTTACTAGGTGGACTTTGATATGACAGCAACCCCTCCATCACAAGTGTTTGAAGCCTGTCAGATTCTAACAAAAGCTGAATTTCTTCACCCAATTTAAATGTTCTTAAAATGAAAATAAAACCTATTCCCATGTTCTATGGTTGGCAGTTGTCATCTTGGGCTTAAAAAAAGTAGTTGGTTAAATGATCTTAGTGGTTCAAGTGAGAGGCTGAAACAAATATTTAAGATGAGAGAAACAGGTCAATACAATTGGACTAAAAGGGAGGAAACGGCATTTCCCTATACATGGTTAGGTCCCTTTGTGTGTTGGTAGCCCTTCCCCGAGACTACGTCCCCCTGGAGGTCGAGGTTCAAGGGTATTCCCACTAGAGGCAAGCTGCAGTTTGTTCCCCTGCTGTCACTTTTTGGGTGACTGATAGCCTACTTTATTAATAGATACGGCCATCCTCAATGGAGTCCCATGGTTTATAACCTGTTTGAATTTTTGTCTAAAGGTTGAGGTTTTATAGCATTGATACAACCTGCTGTGCAGTGTTTCATATTCACCTTCCCTGACCCATACTGGCCAAAGGTTATCAGCAGTGGTTCTAAATCACAGCCTATTAAAGGTTCTCACTTCCCCCCTTTCTTGTAACAATGAAGCCATTGAAACTTGTGGAGTAACCTTATCGACCTTACAGATGGAAATGGGTGGGCCCGAGTAAGAATTTATGGTAACTGTAAAGTGAATGTAGTTTGTCATCCCTGCTAGTTTTTTTTTTTCCTAGAACTTAAAGAACTAGACAGTTAAGGGTGCCTTTTTTACCTTTTAATCTTTAGATATACTTGATACAATCCTAATAATTACTGTTATACCAGTTACCTGGAATATGAGGCAGAGGGTCCCAACTCCCCAAGCCACAGAGCTTCCTGATAGTCATCTTGTTAGAAACTATTTTTCTTTAAAGCCTTCTTTTAGGAGGATACTGACAGTAATTTCTAAAATCAGTGTATCCCCAAGAACGGTACTGATACCAGGGAGAATTTTGATAATAGGCCCATTTTAAGTGGCTGTACCTCTCTATGGTTAACTGCAATATAAGCAGCATTATAGCACAATCTCAAGGTCTGAGGCCATTGGTGGAATATTGGGGGGGGCAGAACACTAAAGACAGTCTTGAAAGTTCTAATATTTGATTCATTTCATACACTTCGCACAGGCATACGACAGCACAGGAGAAAAATTGCAACTGTGAATGATGCCACAATAGCAACTATTTCTAAACAGAATGTTTACTGGCTCCAGAATTGATGCAACAAAATGCAACATTAGGACTGAGTTGAACTCAGTGCTAAGTGCATGATTCTGGCTCAGGTAATTTCTGAGGTTTGCCTCAGATAGACTGATGGCTCCAAATTCAAAGATAGTGGCATTCCCAACAGGATGGCATGGAGTGGCTAAGTAACTCATCAGTGATGGCATATCTACTAAAAGTAACATTATGAAAATTCTGGTAATTGTGGATATATGCTTGTTTTCTAATTCATCTGTACTTAGTATTTTATAGAACTCATAATCTTATAGTCCTCAAAGTATACTCTGCAGAACCCATGGGGTCTCCACAGAGTCAAAAATCTTTTCATAATACTATTTTTTTTTTCTCTGTGTTATTTGCACTGATGGTACAAAAGCAGTGGTGGGGAAAACTGATGGCACCTCCCACATATCAAAGCAGGGGCACCATTGTATTCTTCACTGACCTGCACTCACATTAAACACTTTCACTTAATGTCCTGGATGAAACTAAATAGGTTTTTTATTTTTTGAGACAAGAGTCTCGTTCTGTCACCCAGGCTGGAGTGCAATGATGTGATCTCGGCTCACTACAACCTTTGCCTCCCAGGTTCAAGTGATTCTCATGCCTCAGCCTCCTGCCTCCTGAGTAGTAGCTGGGATCTTACAGGCGTGTACCTTCACACCTGGCTGATTTTTTATTTTTAGTAGAGCACGCCTGGCTGATATTTTATTTTTAGTAGAGATGGAGTTTCACCATGTTGGTCAGGCTTGTCTCGAACTCCTGGCCTCAAGCAATCTGCCTGCCTCAACCTCCCAAAGTGCTGGGATTAAAGGCGTGAGCCACCACAGCTGGTGCGACAGGGATTTTAAGTTTTAAAAAACTCTTCTGTGGAGCTTATGGTAGGCAATTTGCCTAAGAGTTGTAAAGCAGTGCAACACTAGGCGAGGGGCTATGTGTAGCTATTGAGGATTAAGGGATGGTGAAATGAACTTTAGGAACATTCTCAGCCATAAGCAAGAGCTGGATTCACACAACCAATTTTTCAGAAAAAATCAACTTAAGATACCCATAATTTGGGTACCTTTATAATTCATGATGAGAAAGAGCATGTTAACTACATGTTTAAATATATTTTATTTCAAGTTAATATAACAACCATGATTTGTTCATTTAAGTGAAATGCCTAGATAAAAACCTCAAGTGTCACTTGGCTAAAATGTTGGAGACAGTAAATGTAAGCCACTAGAGTAATGACTCTGGTTCTTTAGACTACTGCATGTACCTTACTGAACTACAGGAATGCACATTGATAAAATGCATAATGTCTTCACATGTCTCAATCCTCATTCCTCTTCCTTTCATGCCTCCCTGTAATGCCTCAGTATCCAATATAAAACTACAAAAACTACTGTTCTTTTGGTTTGAGTGGTATTTAATTAAGTTCTTTTGGTTTGAGTGGTATTTAATTAAAACTTCAAATCTATGTTATTTCCACAGTCCAGTAATTTATTTTAAATTTGAGTAATTTCAAATTCCACAAACAAAACTGAATAACAGCAATATTTTGTTTGAATTTCTCTCTTCTGTACACTCAGTGATCTAAAACACCACAATATCCAACATACACAAACCTCAGGGAAGGGTTAGTAAACACACACAAGATTGGAATCATGGTGCTCTTTGCTCCTGAATGGAATGGTCCCACAGAAAAAGCACAGGATACAGCACAACATAAGGGCACCTGTTACATATGAAGTGAGCAAAACATACTAGCATTTTCTATATGCATAATGGGGAAACCTGCATAGGTTAGAGGGCCTTTTATGCTCATTTAAAAATCAGGCAAGTTGTCTGTAACATTTTTCAAATAATCTGGAAAGCACTGCAATCCAGTGTAGGATGTGCTGATTAGTGTTGTCTTTATTGGCATTGACAGTCTTGCATGGTCATATGCCAGTATTTTTGCTTTAACTTTTCTTTGAATAAAACAGATTTAAATGCATTTAGACAATACATATTTGTAAGCTGTTTACATACACTAAATTTAAGAGATTCAATATTAGAGTCTGTTTATTTAAACACTACAGAGTGCAAATCAGATTCTTCACAACAGATTAAATATTAAGCAGTTCTTTAAAGAATGAGGGGGAAGAAAAAAAGCCCAAGTAAATAAAACATTGAAACTATTCCCCTTCGAAAATAAATTCTAAAATGATGTGGAATGTGAAATAAGGTTTTAACATAGGTGATCCAAGTTTATAGTTAGAAACAAAAAGGAGTCCTTCATGAAATAAAGGTTACAAGAACACGTTGCCTGTTTCCCCCATTATAAACAGAGAAGTGGGTAGAGACGATGTTTCAGTACGAAAATAGGTGACTACAGGATCAGCTTTTCATCTCACATGCTGTACCCAAAGCCAGGCTGTGGCTGTCCATATGGTGGTGCGGTATAACCATAACCAAAAGGTGCCTGGGGAGGGACGGCAACACTGGGTCCTGCTGTCAGCATCAACTGGGGCTGACCTAAAGTAGAAGAAAATGAAAAGGAGCAGGGGCAGGGTGAGGAGGCAGGACAGACTGTTAGCATTTAGAACACCCCAATCTCCTCCACTCTAGCAACATAATCTCACCCTCGAATGAGTTGTGTATGGGGAGCACATTTGATTGCTACAATTTTGGGAGGACAGTCTTACTCTAAGAAGGTTCCTACCTAAAAAGTCAACAAATAGTGCAGGGCCAAAGGCCAGAACTGCTTATGACTGAACACAATATGCCTGACACTGTATACTTGACACATACCTACATGCATATTACACTAAATGACACAATAAAATTAGCACAAGAAAACTTAGTTTTTAAAAAGACTTTTTTTTTTTTTTTCCAAAGACATAATCTTGCTGTGTTGCCCAGGCTGGAGTGCAATTGTGCAATCTCGGCTCACTGCAACCTCCGCCTCCTGGGTTCAAGCGATTCTCGTGCCTCAGCCTCCCGAGTAGCTGGGATTACGGGTGTGTGCCACCATGTCCAGCTAATTTTTGTATTTTTAGTAGAGACGGGGTTTTGCCACGTTGGCCAGGCTGGTCTTGAACTCCTGGCCTCAAGTGATCAGCCCACCTTGCCCTCCCAGAGTGCTGGGATTATAGGCGTGAGCCACCATGCTTGGCCTAAATGACATGTTATTAACATACTTTTACAGGTAAATTTCTGATTTAAACATGTCTAAATGGCAGTGAAACCAAATTCATTTATAGATGATCCAGTACTGATTTAGAGACAGCAATTAAAACTAAGACACATTTGGGCCAGGCGCGGTGTCTCATGCCTGTAATCCCAGCACTTTGGGAGGCAGAGGAGGGTGGATCATGAGGTCAGGAGTTCGACACCAGTCTGGCCAATAGGTGAAACTCCGTCTCTACTAAAAATACAAAAAAAATTAGCTGGACGTAGTGGTGTGCGCCTATAATCCCAGCTACTCAGCACGCTGAGGCAGGAGAATCACTTGAACCCAGGAGGTTGCAGTGAGCCGAGATAACGCCACTGCACTCCAGCCTGGGTGACAGAGCAAGATGCTGTCTTGGGGGGCGGAAAAAAAGACACATTCAGATATTCTTTAGGTGTGAAATACATTAGAACATACACCCTCTATCAAATACTATGTTGACATTCTTTCTTACAAAGTTTAAATCGTTGTTGGTCATATACAGAAAACATGACCTGTAGAGAACTTGGCTTAGAGATGGAAAGCAAGTAACACCTCTCTACCCCTACAAAACAAATATTCTTAACCTCCCACTACAGTGTAAACCTAGATCAAGATTTCTCCTACACAAAGGACTTCATGTCTTTGCTTTTTGTGGT